CCAGGAAGAACCCCGCTTGCGTATCCTTTGCTCCCCAGTTTTGACTGGCTTCACAGAGGACCAGCTGCCTCCCAAGGAGGAGGCGATGGAGGCCAGAAAGCATTGGGGTTTAGCCCCCTTTGGGTTAACCCTTTCCCGGCTGTGATGCCAAGTGAGGAGCCGAGAAGGGGAAAGGGGCATTTATTGCTGACCAAGCTGAGGAAGCTCAGCTTTTTCCGTTCCCTTTCGGAGCAGAGGAATCCTGGCGATGTTCTCCCTTTGCATGACCTTCACATCCTTCTCCAGAATTAATGCTCTGCATCTTGCCAATGCTCAGGAACAGTGGCCTGCAAAGACATCGTCAGTTTATGCTGCGTTGTATTATCCTGACCCGTAAGGAAGTGCTGCTCACCAGAGCAAAGAGGCTAGGAAGGACCTCATAAGAAAAGAGAGCCTTTCGGTATCCAACACAAATTTCTTCTACTAAATACCCGTATGCAACCTCTTCCTCCCCTCCTTGCTTTTCTCTCCACGAGGAGACAGGGTCTCCTTTTTGCTATTTCTAGAAGGACAGAAAATGGTCATCCTCCTGGACCAAATCTGGCTCTTGGGCTCCTGAAGATGAGAGAGGTTTCTGTATTAGGGATTCAGTCCAAGTGTCCAGACAGAAGATGGCCTTGCTGGGAATAACTGGTTTTAAAAACTGCAGAAATCCAGCTGTTTATTGGGTTGAAAACTTACCCCCTTAATTAAAGGAAGCCCCAAGGATTCTTTTAATTATTTAAAATATATTTAACCCGCCTTTCTCCTTAAAAAGGGCTCAAAGCAGCTAACAACTATTAAAAGACAGTATTTAAGCTAACAGCAGTAAGTATACAACACTAAAACTATCAAAGGAATACAATACTATATATTCAGATATACAATACTCCCATCTAACTAGTTGAGATTCAAGCCAAGGACCTTTCCAAATTCTCTAAATCCAATGATTATGACTTTTTAATAGGCAAGTTTTATCATGTGACAGACTCAGCAGCAAAAAGCATGGTATGTAAATAAATAAGTATATAAATGGGGACAGTGGGGGGCGGGGAAGAGAGACAGCCAGCCTTAGTGCATACTGGGCAAAAATGTCACAACATATTTTCTTTGGTCCACAATGAAGCTGAAATATAAGGCATATTTTATCAATCCTTCTAGTTGGCAAGAGGTGAAAATACGAATGTGAAGGACCGATAGCCCGCCAGGTGTTGCCAAAATACAGCTTCAATCAAGCCTAGCTCAGCATAACCAATGGTGAAGGATGATAGGTGTTGTAGTCCAGAAACATCTGGAGAGGGGCACATTCCCCAAACTTGGCCGGGAAAGGTAGCTGAAGGAAAGAAACGTTTTGTGATCCTGGCACTGCCTTCTGCAACCCAGCGCTCTCCAGATGGCATTGGGTTACAGCCTTTAACATCTCCAGGAGCCATTAGGGGGGATAATGGGTTTGAGAATGTCATCCTTAGCATAAGGTTCTGAATTTTGAAGCCTGAATATTTCATGAGAGTTGAAAGCTGTTATGGCTACAGAGGTATAAAAGACAGACTGTGCTACATGACTGATTCTATTCAAGACAAATCCATTTCTGGAGCGTGGCTTAGGGCTGTAGTTGCAGAAGCAGAGGTTGTGAGTTCGATTCCCCACTGGGCTTCCTTGACAGGGGCTGAATTCCATGATCCATTCGGTCCCTTCCAGCTCTGCAGTTCTGAGATGGTTATTAAGATTATTATTAAGATCTCCTTATACGGCATCTTTTCCACCGGCTCATTGAAAGATAGATTTGCACGGTTTGGTTGTAAGTTAAAACTGCTATACGGGCGTGGAAATGTCTGGTTTTCTCTCTTTCCAATGGTCTTTTTCCCACATGAGGATGTGACCTCACTGGGTTTCCTTTGCTCGTCGCCATGGTAGCAGATTACATTGCTGCAGTCTCTTGAGATAAGGAGGGGATCAAAGCGGCTCTGTCAGTGCCAGAAGGGCAGAGAAAGGGTTAAACCCTTCCGGGTGGGGGAACTTGCTCCTGTCAAGGGAAAACAGCTCTCCGCTATCAGACACAATCAGAAGGCTAGGTGGCTTAGAAGATCAGGATACAGATGGTCTTCACAGCAGTGAACCGTGTTTTCGGTGTTTACGTTCTGTCGGCAGCCATAAATTTTGAAGATGGCTGCAGCCAGCCATGTTATTATAATATTGGTCTTAGGCGGTGTGGTAGTGAAAGAGAGCCCGTGTTGTAATCCTCTTGGATAGCCCTCGGTTGGGCTAAAATCCACCTCTGGCAAGTTTGCCTTCGTGTCCTCCGCAGTTCCAAATGAAAAGAAGTGCAAAATGGCTTAAGTTGTGTAGATCTGTTCCAAAGAGGGACAGAAGTTGGTTAGAAATGAAGGTCTTCTCGGCTGATTCCTTCAGGACCAGCCCTACCGTTACGCAGGATCAGGTGGGTGCCTCAGATGGAAGATACGGGAAAACAGGAAGGCGGTTTCCCCTGATTTTCTCTGGGTCTCTTAAACCAGTTTGGGTGGAGAAAACTATTCTGTCCTTACTGTCAAAGTGAGGCTCAATGAGCCATCCAGATGGATTTTGCACATATGAAACCAAGATGAGGGTGCACCTTTTCCTTTCCTGCAGGCAGAAAAGTATTTGGGACCAACTCTAGACTGCCTTTTTCACATGTGCATCATCTTCTCAAAGGATGTAAAAAGGGATGTCACATACATCCTCTGCAGAAATGGGGATGATGGGGCCTCCAGATGTT